TCCTCGCTACCCCTGTTCAGAGTCCGATCTCAGAAAAGCATGATCTTGACGGACGCGAGCACTGCCAAAGGCACCGCTGGGATTCGAACCCAGGATCTCCTGTTTACGAGACAGGCGCTTTAACCAACTAAGCCACAGCACCAAAAGACATGTACAGACTCCGGGAGGGCGGCTCAGAGGATCGAGCCATCCAGCGGTGAGGCCAATGGTCCACGGGCTTGGCCCTGGACAGCTTAAAACAGCTTATTTACAACTTTCTGTTGCCGGAGTGCAACAGTGTGCAGTGTAAGGCTTAACAAAATGCCAAAGGCCACGACTCTGGTGGGACTCGAACCCACAACCTTTGAATGGCATCAGATGCCATCTAGAAGTCCAAAGCGCTATCCATTGCTATCCTGCCCATGAGCCTGGAAGAGGCACATGAAAATTTCTCCTCTGTCTTCGTGCCTGACCAATGCTGAGAGGTCACACGCTCTGTGGGCAGGAAGGACAGGTCCTCAGGCCTCTGCACAATTGAAGTGTGACTCAAAATGCAGAGACACCGTCGGGGCCACCTATCAAAGAAATGGCCCAGAGAGAAAATCTACCAGTGGAACGGCATCTCTGGTATTTGAACCCAGGAGCTCCTGTTTACTAAACAGGTGCTTTAACCAACTAAGCCACGGTGCCTGCTGCAAGTACTGTTTTTGGACATCTTAAAACAGCTTATTTACAACTTTCTGTTGCCGGAGTGCAACAGTGTGCAGTGTAAGGCTTAACAAAATGCCTAAGCCCCGACTCTGGTGAGACTTGAACCCACAACCTTTGAATGGCCTCAGAGGGCAGTCTAGAAGTCCAATGCGCTATCCATTGCGCCACAGAGCCTGCCCTTGAGCCTGGAAGAGGCACATGAAAATTTCTCCTCTGGCTTTGTGCCTGACCAATCAGGTCACACGCTCTGTGGGCAGGAAGGACAGGTCCTCAGGCCTCTGCAAAATTGAAGCGTGACTCAAAAGGCAGCGACAGCGTCGGGGATACCTATCGAAGAAATGGCCCAGAGAGAAAATCTACCAGTGGAATGGCACCGCTGGGATTCGAACCCAGGATCTCCTGTTTACAAGACAGGTGCTTTGACCAGCTAAGCCACAGCGCCCAGCTGCCCAGATGCATTAGCCCAGGACATCATTCTTCGGCAGGAGCTGAGGGGCGGTTTGCAAATGAAAGAGCCTACAGGCCTT